CCTCCGCCCGCCGCCCCCTCGCCGGACCCCAGCGGCGGGTCAGTGCCCCTCCGCCCCCGCGAGCGCGAAGGGGAGGGGGCGATCACGCTTCCTCCCTGCCGACGTGCCACCGGCTGTGAGCAAATAAAAAGGAAAGAAAAGAGAATTCAAAAAGCAGTAGATCGGAAGTAGTGGGAAACTGCGAGGGGGCACGCCTCATCAACAAACGCACCTGCGTAATGGACATTTGTGTCCCTAACCCTGAATTGTGCCCCACATATTTAAAAAAATAAATAAAACTTAAAAAATCCGTAGTTCGGCGCTTAATACTGTTGGTACCAATGTTCTACTTTGATGAAGGTGTTTTTAATCAGCTCGACTAATTTACTTAATATCCCCTTTCAGTGGAATTTGGCCAATAGTCTAATAGCCTGGAGTTTGGCTTGTAATAGAAGTGTGTGTCAGTGTAATTTTCCATAAATGTAATTTTAAATGTTCACCCTAATGGGAGAGGAAGGTTGTAATTTTATTCCAAACATCTGATAAAATTAATTGCACTGGAATGCAGAGAAGCAGAGTGACGTGGGGGCGTTTTGTCAAGAGAGACACTTCTGTCCCCAGGACTATCAAGGGGCTGAGTCCTCAGTCAGGCAGAGCGGTGGCCCTGGTGGGGGATTGGCCCTCTTTTGTTTGTCTATTTACCTATTTATTGACACAGAGTCTCATTCTGTCGCCCAAGCTGGAGTGCAGTGGCATACTCAAGACCACCGCAGCCTCGACTTGCTGGGCTCAGGTGATCCTTCTGCCCCAGCCTTCCAAGTAGCTGGAAATACAGGTGTGTGCCTCCATGCCTGGCTAATTTTTTTATTTATTGTTGAGACGAGGTCTCACCAATTTTCCCAGGCTGGTCTCGAGCCCCTGGACTCAGGCAGTCCTCTCACCTTTGCCTCCCAAAGTGCTGGGATTACAGGCATGAGCCATCGCAGCCAACTTGCTAAACATTTAATGAGGACCAGTACCACACAAGTGAGTTATGGAAGAGATAGAGAACCAAGAACTAAAAAATGTTCATTGGCTTGATCCCTCTGAACTTGACCGCCTTTAGAACAGTGTTACTTGTCCATACAACCACTGCCACGATTTTTTTTTTTTTTAAAAAAAAACAAAGTCTAGAGACCATGGATTTTCCCTCTCTGTGGTTTATATTCACTTCTTGAAACCGGGAAGTAAATATTTCATATGTTATACTTTTAGTGTGAATGCAAATAGTACCATTTTGTTCCATTCGCTCAAGGTATGTGGTCTCATGGCAATACCATTTTGATGGAAGGGAAAAGAAATGTAGGAATCGTTTCTTTTTTTATTTTTATTTTTTGAGTTGGAGTCTCACTCTGTCACCCAGACTGGAGTGCAGTGGCCACTCCCGGCCACCGCAGCCTTGACCTGCTGGGCTCCAGCAATCCTTCTGTCTCAGCCTTCCAAGCAGCTGGGACTACAGGCGCGTGCTACCACACCCGGCTAATTTTTTTTATTTATTGTAGAGATGAGGTCTCGCCAAGTTGAACAGGCGGGTCTCGAACCCGTGGGGTCAGGCAATTCACTCACCTCGGCCTCCCTAAGCGCGGGATTACAGGCTGAGCCACCGAGCCCGGCCTCCTTTCATTTTTTAGTGAAGCTTTTCAAATTTATGGTTGACTGTATCGCTCACTTTTATCCTTCTTGGGAAAATTCTAAACCATATCTGCCTAGTTGAGAGATCTACATTGTTTCTCGTTTCCAAAGCTTCTTAGCTTTCTTCCAATAAAATATTCCTTGCATAGATTAGATGTTAGACCTTCACCCAAAGCCGGGCGCGGGCTCACGCCTGTAATCCCAGCACTTCGGGAGGCGGAGGAAAGAGGATTGCCTGAGTCTAGTGGTTCGAGACCAGCTTCGGCAACTAGGTGAAACCTCGTTTCTACAATAAATCAAAAAATTAGGCAGGTATGGTAGTGCGTACCTGTAGTTCTAGCTACTAGGAAGGCTGAGGCAAAAGGATCACCTGAGTCCACCAAGTCGAGGCTGTGGTGGCCATGAGCGTGCCACAGCACTCCAGCCTGGGTGACAGAATGAGACTCCAATTCAAAAGACAAACCCTCAATGGTGTGTTTAAATAGACCTAGAAGACAATAATTTATCAAACTCAAATGCCTCCTCCATATTTGTAAGCAACTCTTGGTACTTAATCAATGGTTTCATCCAAATTTATCATGTTAGAGTATGACTATGTTCCAGGACAAGGCGTGGGGGAAATTAAGCCCTAAAGACAACTAACTCCATGTGCCCCGTTTAAGTGACAAACTTGTCCCAGTGTCCTCCCCTCTCACATTAGACTTAGAAAAATGGCACATTACAAGTTCCGTAACTCACATTTCAAAAAGGATTGCCTTTCGCTTACTTCAGTCATATGATCAATGGACTTGCTGGGAGTTCGCTTTTCCAGTCACAAGTTGGGAGAGTTTCCTGGAGCCAACACGCTTGTGAGGATGCTGACACACGTATAGAAAGGCGCTGCTTGCCTGTGACACCAACAGAAAAAAATTAACCTCATCAACTCTAAAATCACGATGTGAAAAAGAGCAGGCCGGAGCTCTATCTTCTTGAGGTTTGCTCGCCTTAATCCTAGCTGTCACCCCCGTTTGCCCCTGGAACTTTCCTTGTTGAGGACCAGAGGGAAAAGCAAGAAACCACCTGTTTTTAAGGAGCCTTGTTACAACCTGATTAAAACAGCCTGGTAATTTTAAAAATAATTTTCTAGGCTGGTTGCGGTGGCTAACATCTGTAATCCCAGCATTTTGAGAGGCTGAGGCAAGAGGATTGTTTGAGTTCGGTAGTTTGAGACCAGCCTGGGCAACATAGTGAGAACTCATCTCTTATTAAAAAAAAAAAAAGTACAATAAAATTTTTAAAAATAAAAAACAATAAAATAAAATAATTTTCTAAATACAAAAGGAGAGCATAGAGACTTTTTAAATATTTTATTTTAAAGATGTGGAGTACAGTTCAGGATTAGGTATACAAGTGAACAAGAGACATATTTATAACACCGTAGAGAGCCAAATAATCCAACAAACAACTTCCAAACAGTTTCTGATCTTATAACAACCATACTTTAGGCCCCAAAAGCTGAACTCCATTCATTCATTTAACTGATAAGGAGCACATTCTAGCTGATAAGCCCTTTGCTAGGCTTTGGGATAGGAATTTAAAAAGCGTAAAGCACGACCCTGGGCCACGAATTCCCAGTCTAGGCTGGACACAGTGGCTCAAGCCTATAATCCCACACTTTGGGAGGTCGAGGATTGCCTGTGCCCAGGGATTCAAGACCAGCCTGGACAACTTGGTGAGACCTTGTCTCTACAATATATCAAAAGATTAGCTGGGTGTGGTAGCATGCATCTATAGTTCCGGCTACTTGGAAGACTGAGGCGGAAGGACTGCCTGAGCCCAGCGAGTTGCGAGTTGCAGCTGGGGTGTCTGTGAGTGTTCCACTGCACTCCAGCCTGGGCGACAGAGTGACACTCTAACTCAAAAAAAAAAAAAAAAAAAAAAGAATTCCCAGTCCAGTTAGGGAGACAAAAATGTTCACAGCTAATTTTACTCCCATGTGACAAGAGCTACAGCACAGATAGATGGGAACACTTTGAGCTGGGCTTGGTGGCTCAGCCTGTAATCCCGCACCTTTGAGAGGCTGAGGTGAGTGGATTGCCTGAGCCTGCGGGTTTGAGACCCGCCTGGGCAACTTGGCGAGACCTCATCTCTACAATAAATCAAAAAATGAGCCGGGCGTGTTAGCGCGCTCCTGTAGTTCCCGCTACTCGGAAAGCTGAGGCGGAAGGATCACCAGAGCCCAGCAGGTCGAGGCTGTGGTGGCCGGGAGCAGCCACTGCACTCCAGTCTGGGCACAGAGTGAGACTCCAACTCAAAAAAAAAAAAAAAAGAAAAAGATGGAAACTCTTTGAAACACACAGGGAAAAACAAAATCTGTCAAGGCCTTAGGAGTCAGTAAAGTCGCAAGTGACTTTAGTGGTTCCTGGGCTGAGATAAAAGATGCCCAGGCAGCAGTGTGGTGGGTTGGGGGAGGAATGGAGGAGGCCCAGGCTTCTGATTTCGTTCCTTCCAGCCTGCCCCTTCTCTCCTGTAACTTGGAAGAGCCCCTGGGCACCCTGTTTCCGTACCAGCAAAGATCAAGGGACAGATTCCAACTCTTCCCACCTACTCTGGGCGCTCTCACTCTGTTTCAGGCCTACAGCAGATTAGCAGTGTCCAGAGAACCATTCTCTCCCCACACAGAGAAGCAGCTTTATGAATTAGGAGTGGACTTACGGATTATTTTCCAAACTTGAAATCAGGACTAGGGTCTGACTGAAGAATACAAAGAATGTCTAAAACTGGGTCTCCAGGACTTAAGGTCATTATGAGATCAGATCTACAGTATTTTAACCGTTTGCCAATCATCCCCACACCCCCAGAATTAGTGCACAGGGGAAGGGGGTGGGGCTGGGGGGTAATAGGAGAGCGCCTCATCACTTCTCCTGATGGTTTAAGCTTTAGGTAAGCAAGAGAATTTTTATCTCCCAGGGAAGAACAGTGGGACGGGGGGAAAAGAGACTCAGCAAAAACCATCACTCCGAGTAGATCCAGGTGCCACAGTTGCTCCCTACAGGTGCTTAGAAAGAATACTTTGATGACATAAAGTGGCATCTTCTATGTCCTCAAAGAGTGCGCCTATCTGCTTTTCCTTCCAAAGCTGTTCAGAAATTATAGGCAAAACCCATTCTGTCAAACCAGACTTTCAACCGAGATTTTTTTCCCAAAGAGGCTTCACCAAGGGATTCGCACAGCCTGACAACCTAACCAAGCTTTAGGAAATGCAGCCGCTCACCATCTTGGCAGGCCTCCCAGGACAGACCCAGAAATACGAAGCCATTGACACGATTTTCTGTTCTTTTTTGAAGACGTTGAGTGGTATAAAGGCCTCTCTACAAGAATGAGCTATCTCCTAGAAACTTCTAATCAGAAATAGATGATCTACTTGGCTGTTGTGTTCTCCTTTCTAAGATCACATATCCTCCTGTTCTCAGAAAAGATTAGGCATCGCTCATAACAAGCATATCAACGGGAGAGACAAGAAGTGCCTCGAGTGACTTTTACTAAGAACAGAGGGCGTGGGCATGACTCTTCAGCAGCCTACGTGAAGGGTGTTGGTGTTTTTGGTGCCGTCGCTAATAAATAGTTGTTCTTTTTTTTTTTTTGAGTTGGAGTCTCACTCTGTCGCCCAGACTGGAGTGCGGTGGCCTCGACCTGCTGGCTCCGGCGATCCTTCCGCCTCAGCCTTCCGAGTAGCCGGAATTACAGGCATGCGCTACCACACCCAGCTGATTTTTTTATTTTATTGTAGAGATGAGGTCTCGCTGCCCAGGTGGATCTTGAACCCGCAGGCTCAGGCAATCCACTCACCTCAGCCTCCCAAAGGCGCGGGATTACAGGCTGAGCCACCGAGCCTGGCTAGTAGTTGTTCTTTTTACAACAGCTGCTTTCAGATGTAGGATCCTGGTGGATAAGCGCAACAAAACGAGTAAAAACTTTTCCCGCGCATCCATGGACAAACATGGAACAACTCCATGTGTGAGGCCCTCATGTGACCTGCTGAGGTTGGAGGACTGTGTGTTCTCCTGGGGGAAGTCACCATCTAATTAGGAGGACCAAGACATTCAGAAGTAGCCATGAGCCTGCCTAGAACACAAACATCCCTGAGAAGCGTATGGGAGCAGCTACGAGGGCAGGGAGAAGGAAGGCAGATGCGTTAGTGGGACTGCAGAAGGCATTATAGAAATGGAGCATTTCCAGAGTGAGAGGCGGACAAGGCATTTCAAGCAGAGGGGACAGGGAAGCAGTGCTGTGGACACTGGGGGCTGTGTGATTTTTGAGACTGAGGAGGGACTCTCTTTGGCTGGTACAGTGGGAATACAGCATTGAGGAGGGACCTGGGCGCCATGCTCAAGAGAATGGCTTTCCATTGAGGGGAGTCGAGAGGGGAGGGGAGAGAGTAATGGGAATTTCGGCAGGTGATGACTGGAACATTCATCCAAGACTGTAGCTCTTAAGTACGAGACCGTACCTCGTGTCCTGACTCGGCAACCCCTGTCAGAGAAATGAAGAACATTCCAGTGTGTGATGGAGATACCTGGTGAACACCCAGTTCATGTGTGTTGGGCACCAACTGAATGAGCGAGCGATGCCCTGAGAAGGTTAATTCAATGGTAATGTTCTGGATGGATCTGTGAGGGGAAGGAAAATAAAAAAGACTGGTATCTCAGTGGGAGGGTCACTTGAGGCCAGGAGTTCAAAACCAGCCTGGGCAACATAGTGAGACCCTGTCTCTACAAAAAAATTTAAAAATTATTGCATACCTGTAGTCCCAGCTACTCAGAAGACTAAGGAAGGAGGATTGCCTGAGCCCAGAAGGTCAAGGCTGTGGTGAGTCGTGATCATGCCACTGCACTCCAGCCTGGGTGACAGTGTGAGACACTGTCTCTAACACCCCCCCACCCCCTCCAAAAAAAAAAAAAGAAAGCAAAAACCAAAGAAAGAAAAAAGAAAAGGGGACAGAAAACCGACAGGTACTAAACACGTGTTATAGCTAAGCACTCTGCCAGTTACTTTTGAATATAGTATTTCAGTTAACTCATACCAAAAAAAATAGAAATCAAATGAAAGGACTATTATTATTCCCACTTACAGATGAATAAACTGAGGATAGGCAGGTCAAATGCCAGCAGCTAGAACTGTCTTTAATGGAATCATGTTCTTTGCCAGAGGTAGTAGCAGAAATGGGAGAGGACGTCACTGTGATGGCATGACAGAGGCCAGATCAATTGTCCTTGCAAGTGAATCGATTACTGGCTGGAGCAAAGAAGGAGGCCTCAGAGGGGACAAACGAGGCAATTAACTCAAATGGAATCTGCCAGAGGAATGAGTTTGTGGAGAAAAATGAAAGATGATTATCATGACTGCTAGTATAAATGATAGCGATGCCCGCCCAATATGAATAGATTAATAATAGCGATAGCTAACATTTACTGAACACTTATTATATCCAAGGCACTATATTAAGTGCTTTACATGCCTTGTTTCATGTTGAATAATAGTTCATTTAATTCTCCAAACAGCTTTATCACTCTCATTTCTATTTCAGGAAGGTCAAGCAGTTTGCCTAAGGATAGTGCTTTCTCTTAGGGGCCCCTGAGACGCTTCTAGAGGATCCGGGTTTGCAAAGTCAAAACTATTTTTATAGCAATACTACAACACGACTGGCTTTTTTTCTGTGTGTGGAATTCTCACCGGCCACACAAAAGCCATCGTGGGTAAAAGTGCTGCAGGACTAATCAAGGTAGCAGTGCCAGACTATTTGTGGAGGGAAAATAAACAAACAACAGAAGCCAAGTTTACTTATGCAGTCCTTGATGAAGCAGTAAGAATGACGAAGTTTATTAAATGACACCCTTGAGTACACATTGTTATGTGTGACCAATTGACGTGTGGCAAGAAAGTACTTCTGCACATCAAGATATGATGTTTGTTGCAAGAAAAGGCACTTGTGAGATTGCTTGAATCATAAACGGAATTAGCTGAGTTCTTCAGGGAAAACATGTGTCTGCTGCTGTGATCTTAAGATAGCCCCAATTCTTAGAGACTTTTCAATGAGATCACTGATGGTGTTAACAGATGATTTTTAAAATAACGTATAATGAAATGCATCAACATTTGGAAGATCTGCATACTTTGATGTTATGGTATCTTCCTAATAATTTAGGTATGATGACACAAAATCGTGTAGAGGTAAAAATTCCATTAAGAGTACAAGATAGACCAATGGGTTTTAATGTAATGGTACAAAATCTGGTGTGTTTTCAGATTCCAGTTGCAACTAGCCTTTAAGAAACTCCCAACTAGCCAGGCGTATTGGCTCACGTCTGTAATTCCAGCACTTTGGGAGGCCGAGGTGAGGATTGCCTGAGTCCATGGATTTGAGACCTGCCTGGACAACTTGGCAAGACCTCGACTCTATAATAAATTAAAAAAATTAGCTGGGCGTAATGGTGCATGTCTGTGGTTCCAGCTACTTGGAAGGCTGAGACGGAAGGATTGCCTGAGCCCAGCAGGTCAAGACTGCGCTGGCCGTGATAGTGCCACTTGCACTCTAGCCTGAGTGACAGAGTGAGACTCTGACTCAAGAGAAACTCCCAACTGTTTCAAGTTTTGCTGTAGTATCAAAGAACATTCACAATTATATAAAAAAAGTTGTTAACATATTCTTAATACCCTCCCCTGGTTTTTGGAGTTTTTTGTTTTTTTTTTTGTTTTTGTTTTTTTGGGGGTCTCACTCAGTCCCCATTTCTGCTACTACCCCGGTAAAGAACATGATTCCATTAAAGGCAATTCTGGCTGCTGACATTTGCCCTGCCTGAGACTCAGTTTATTAATCTGTAAGTGGGAATAAGAATTGTCCTTTCTTTCTTTTTTTTTTCTTGGTGTGAGTTAACTGAAATAATATATTTGAAAGTAACTGGCAGAGTGCCGAGCTGTAACATGTGTTTAGTACCTGTCGTTTTCCTGTCCCCTTTTCTTTTTTTTCCCTTTTGTTTTTGCTTTCTTCTTCTTTTGGAGGGGGGATGTTAGAGACAGGATCTCACTCTGTCACCCAGACTGGAGTGCAGTGGCATGATCATGGCTCACCGCAGCCTTGACCTTCTGGTCCCAGGCAATCCTCTTGCCTTCGTCTCTCGAGTAGCTGGAACTACAGGTGTGCACTACCATGCCCGGATAATTTTTTGTAGAGACAGGATCTCACTATGTTGCCCAGGCTGGTCTTAAACTCCTGGCCTCAATCATAGCTCACCCCAACCTCAAACTCCTGGACTCAAGCAATCCTCCAGCCTCAGCCTCCCAAGTAGTTGGGACTACAGACATATGCCACCACCCAGCTAATGTTTTTTATTTTTTACAGAGGCTAGATCTAGCTATGTTTCCCAGGCTGGCCTTGAACTCCTGGGCTCAAGCAATCCCCCAGTCTCGGGCTCTCAAAGTGCTGGGATTACAGGCATGAGCCACCGTGCCCAGCCTTTGACTCCCTTTTTCAACTACATATCTGTGTGAGGCTAGATTTTCTTAATTTACTTCATCCAAAACAACATATCCCAACAGAGCAAATGAAACAGATATGAGAATCCACCTGTCTTCTATTAAACCAGAGGGATTTACAAAAATGTAAAACAATCATACTCTTTTCACTAATTTATTTTGGCTCAGAAAATATATTTTTTATTAAAATAGAACGTATTAACATGTGATGGGCTTATTATTGCCATTGAAAATGAATTAATGAATATGTTTAAATTTATCAGCTTTGCTTCCAGTATAGTAAATATTCATAGCCATAACCCACATGAACAAATGCTTTCTGGAGCCCTCAACCATTTTTCAGAATGTCAAGGGGTCCCGAGTCCATGAAGTTTGAAAACTGCCAGCTCAGGCACATACCTTGTAAGTTACAGAAGCCAGTAAGTACCAAAACCCTGATCGATCTGATTCCAAAACGCACTGAAATGGCTGATTCCCTGTTTAATTTCACATCTGCTGTATGCGAGATGTCAGATTTCTCAAAAGCCCACTTTGCCTCCAAGTCGCCTAATTAAACCCCCAATCACTAGAGATTTAAAATAACAAGTACCAGATGGGTGAAGTTATGTCTCGATAACCAACAACCCCAAATTTTCCATGGCTAAACATAGCAAAAGCTTTCTTAGTCATGCCAAGTCCGCTGCAGCCCAGGCCATCCTCCAGGCCAGTGTTCCCCATTGTTAATGACCTGACTGGCCCTGGCGCAGACATTCCCAGTCATTGCGGCAGGGTGGTGCGTGCTGGAGGGCCCAGCACCAGTCATCAAGTGCTTCCAGTGAAAGTGTCACAAGTCACTGCTGCTCACGTTTCATTGAAGGGTGAGAAGGTGCCGTCCCTGAAGAGAGGAGTGCTGGGTATTGATAGACACTGCACTGACAAGCACCCTTCCTCTGAGCTTCCAACTGAAGACATCTCATCTGCCTGCTCTGAAACTCTGTGGTACAGGCTAGGGCGTGAGAAAGGGCTGAAAATTCAGCCCCTGCCCTTCAGGGACTCACAAGATGTCTGAAAAATACAGCTACAAATAATGTCCTCTTATTTGTACAGCCCTTTCCTATTTATCAAGTAACCACACAGATAATTACTGAATGCGACGATTAGAGGCGAGATCCAGATGAATTGGGTTTTTCATTTTTTCATTTTTTCGTTTTTTTAAGTTGAGGTATCTCACTCTGTCACCCAGGCCAGAATACAGTGGCACAATCACGGCTCACCATAGCCTCGATCTCCAGGGATCAGATGAACCTTCCACCTCAGCCTCCTGAGTAATTGGGACTATAGGCGTGTGCCCCCACACTCAGCTAATATTTTGATTTTTTTGTAGAGATGAGGTCCCGCTGTGTTGCCTAGGTTGGTCTCGAACTCTTGGGCTCAAGCGATCCTCCCGCCTTGGCCTCCCAAAGTGCTGAGATGACAGGCATGAGCCACCACTCCCAGTCGGATTGGACCATTTTGAGTGTTCCTGGGGGAAAGAAAACTGTGGCTTGGGTGATCAAAGATGCTTTCGGGGAGATGGTGAGATTTGAATGAGGGTCATGAAATGAGGGGAAAAACCCAAATTGGTAGAAGTGGAAAAGGGGGGAAAATAAAGATGCAAAGTCAGTAAAGCAAGAGATATTTTCAGGATGGCAAATAAACCAGTGTGGCAACGGTTAATCATGTCAAGAAACATATTGCTAGCACACAGAGATGGGGTGAGAAGACAGGAGAGCTGTCTGCAGGATACAGTAGCAAGCCCAAAACTGGGGCACCAGCCCTGGGGAGGACCAGGGAGGCAAGCCTACAGCCGGCCCGGTCCATAGGAAGGGAGACCACAGGGCCTGAGGGCCTCTTGTTCATCGACAAGAGGAATGTTAGGCTTAGGGATGTAGCCATCGTTTATTTTTATTGAAGAAGCTAGAACCAGAACATGCTTTATGTCTTTTTTTTCCTCTAAAAATATATTTTCTTCATAATTTCCCAACCACAATAACAATAAAATAGCAGTGGCATAATTGTCTTACACGAATGAAATATACTTTTCAGAAATAGCCTTCTACTAGCATGAAGTCAAGAGGATGTTGGAATTATCTTGTTTAAATTAAATGGGCATGTTCTT